ATTTATCAATTTAAATTAATAAAATAAATTATTAAATTGTTTTCAAATTTTATAAATTTAATTTATGTATTAATAATTTTTAATTTAATAATTGAATTATTAAAATTTAATGTATAATAAAATTATGAATATAGGAAATTTACTAAAATTTATTGGAGCAAATAAATCCTCATATATAATTAATCACTTTTATTTGTATATATAAAAGCTTCTGTAAGTCTTTTTCTTTTAAATAAATATTTATTGCAGATATATGCATTCGCTTAATTAAATTATTAAACTAATGTTAATATCTGATTATGACTTGACTGCGGTGTCCAAACGTCAATGAGTAACAGCTCAAACGTGATCTTAATTAGAATATAATATATTATGCTCTAAAATATCACAGAACAAACAAAGTGGATCATTCAGAAAAATCCGAATCAAGATTTCGCAAACGAGTTGATAAAGACACGTGTAATGTTTTGTATGCATTTCAATAGACATTCTTTGAACCTTTTCAAGATCCTCCAGTAAACAACTATTACCAAATCGACAACACACGCATGCTTTATTCTTTGCTCACAATATTTAAACTGTGGCGGAAACAAACTAACCCATTACTCCATCAGAAATAGAAACAAAAATACTAGACAATAGTACCTTCGAACCGACAGATATATGTAATTTAAATTTTTATAAGAAGACCCTTCATCTATAATTTGTTGGTATCAACAATCCAATTATATATTATGCCATGAGGAAACTATTGGTGCATGTAATTGTTTGGTTTTGCGGCTTTAATCACGACCAAATGGATTTTGGAAAAGAATACTTAATGATGAAGTGTTGTCCTTTTTGGCTTCTTTCCTTAATCCTCTCCACTTCCACTTTGCATAAGCAAATTTGGTGCTCTGTGACAGAGAGGTCATATATATCCAAGTAATATATATATATATATTAGTGTAAGTGACATGTAAATTGATACATTAGAATTTGATCATTGAAATATATCTAGATTTATAGATGTATATAAAGTAAATATATCTTCCTAAATATACAAGGTGAATATTCTCTTTTTAATATATTACTTTCTATATTTAAAATCAAGATTTAAATTATAGATAATTTGATTAAGAGATATAAGTTGTAATTATTTGTGTCAAGTACGCAAAAGCATACACATATAAACAAGGTTTCGTTGACACTAAGGTCAAATTAATGAATTAATACATTCAATACTTTTTTTATAAAATATAAATTTAACTGATTCAATTATGCACTCATATGGGTAAGGATCTATTAATACTATGAGATCAAATTAGTGAAATAATACATTTAATAATTTTATATAAAATATAAGTTTAACAAATTTAATTATTATATTTGATGATATTATACTCGTAATTATATATATTAAATTTTAAATAATTTAGACTAATTTTAAATATGTTATCCAATAATATATATTTTATAGTTAGACATATTTTTAATGATAGTTAAACATCATTTAACTTTTCTTCCTCTCAACTTCTCATTATTCAGAAAAAGATAACTCAGCTAAGTTATTTATTTTTATATTGTGATCAAATATAGCTTCCATATTATTATAATAACGTATTATTATATTAATTAAGATTCAATTTTGAATAATTATCATCTTCTTTGAAAGTAATAGTTTCGAGCAATATTTTTTTCAAAAAAAAAATTTATAAAATCATATTTTACTTATTTAGTGATAAAAACTTTGTTAAATGAAATTCTTTTACAATAATCTTTTAAATGGGTTAAATCGTTTAACAATCAGACTTTAACAATTCTCCAATTTATCTTCTTTACTTTATCGAATATTGAATATAGAATTAGATGCTTAATATTATAGTTAATCATGCACTAAATATGAGATGAAACTAGATTAAAAACTAATTAATCTTAAAAGTTTAATATTTACAATCGATAAAAAAAAATATAAGTAAGACAATTATTATTTATCACTCACCAACATGAAAATCAAAAGAGGAGATCAAGTCCACTAATATAGTAAAGATATCTTTAAATTGGAATCATAACATATTAGTGGAATATCTTAATAATTACAAAGATATATTCTATATATTCTATGTATTCCATTAATTACCAAGATATTTTACTAATAGAACAAAGATCATATACAAGAAAATTCGTTGTAAAAAATAGAATTTAATTTCGTCAATACTCACTCGCTCAAATTGCTTCATATCAAAATATATTTCATAACTTATTATTTATAAAAAATTACTATAATTAATATTTTAATGCAATTTTGGATAATCTAATATTATATTAGAAATCCAATTTGAAGTGCTACGAATGTAGCCATACATTGACCGAATCATAAGCTTAAAACTGAATGGGTGGAATCCATTGAATTTGTAATATATGAGCATTGCCTATTTATCAATTTGGGATTCCGGGCTGCGTTAATAAAAGAGAAGTTGTTTTATTGTTTGCAGCATTTTTTTTAATTGTGAAAATTATATTATTTCAATAATTTATTATATGAAAATTATATTATTTTATAGTTGATATAATTAAATAAAATTTTGTTTAGATACGTTGATAGAAAAGAGATTTTAAAATGTTTAATTTTCTTTATATGTGATAAAAAAAAGTTATTTAGTAAATCAGTT